TGTTGAAAATGAAACAGCATTTCTATTAATCCGTTTTAATTACGATATTGGAACACAATCACTTCCACAGGTATGTAGCTTTTAAAGCCAGGAACCTGAAAATGTAGTTAGGTCATTTTGACCGAATTTGACTTAATCCTCATTTCGATATGAAGGGTCACATATATCTAATCCTTGGTGGAAAAAAGTCTGAGAAACACTGACAGTATTCCTGGGAGCGAGCACCTGCCCTGAAGGCTATAGTCACGCTTTGGGTGCTCACACAGGGCATGTGCGCACACTATCACCAGAGGTGGAGTTGCTGCTTACGCTTACGTTGGCATAGTTTTCTCCAAAAGGACATGCAGCAGTACACTTTATAACTTATGAGATGTTGTAAATAGGAGATCAAACACTTGAGGAACAAACTGTTTGAATGGTGCACCACACGGGCAGCCTTTGTRACTCGAGACTGCGCACACCAGCTGTCAGTGAGACAGCACGACCCACCCTGTTCTTATCTGATTGGGTAAAACTTTGACTGTGGTTCTCTCTATTGGTTGAAATAACTGTCAGTTTAAAATCTAGAAGTTTTTTTTCCTTTCATTTTTTACAAATGACAGTCAACCGTTGCGGAGAAGAACTTTACAACCAGGAGGTGGGATCTGGTTATGTCGACCCCTAACCTCTGATCAAGCATATTATGCGCCCTCCTGGGATCTCTAGCGCCCAGGTTGGGAACCACTGGACTAATCTACCTCACCTGCTTCATCCAGCCACCGTATCACAAGCCCAGACACATCCAATCAGTATCTGACAGTCAGTGGATAAAAGCATCCTCTCCAATCGTTCCGTCTGCTCGCCAGCCAAATGTCAACCTACCGCTATCACGTTCTCCACCCTTTATCTTCTAGCTTCCAGGGGCTTTCCCCTCCTTTAACCACCACCACCAGTTTCTGGGSCCCGGGAGGGAATAAAAACTGCTACCCCTCATCTTAAATAGCTCATCTAAGCTTACAGTATTGAACAACACTCCCATCCTCTGCCGGGGTCCGAGCGCCAAACTCTAATATCATTCATATAAATAATTCTGCTAATTCAGTCATGTCAATAAACCTCCTAATTTCTGTCTGTCTTTGTGTGAGTCTTTCCGGGTTGAAATAGAAAATGTTGTTTTTTTATGTCATTAGATTTCATGTGGCCAGAATGCAATCAGTGCAATGCAAATGTTATTACATGAACTTCAAAAGCACATGATCACAGCAGCAATCATATGACATCATGTACAACACTGTATTTACATAGAACAAAGAACACAAAGGGACAAGCCATATACAGAGCTCTAATGAGATTACTGGAAAAGACAAGTAACAACAACACTTATTACACATATAGTTATGACACATTACTCCCCAGTGCAGACAGGGTGTTTTAACAGCTTGGAATAAGAGTGTGTAATGTACTGATGATTTACTGCTACATAAATTGCATTGTTTTCATGTCTGTACAAGGTATTYGTGATGTTTTAAAATTATTTATTTTTTGGCATGACCAATGAGTTAGTGATAACATATCTTTACAGCAGATCACACTACATACTGTATGCTAGACTACTGGATCAACAAAAGGTTATGCTATGATGTTATTTTCCTACAGTCATGTGTATACAGTACACTCGGGTCCATACATATGGAGCATCAATACAATCCTTACCTTTTTGGCAGTAAACAGCACAGTGAATTTAAAATTAAACAAGATATTTAGTGAAATCCTTTGCAGTCAATTTCAGCCTGAAGTCTGTAACACATAGACATCAGCAGACATTGTGTTTCATCCCTGGTGATGCCAGGCCTCTATGGCAGCAGTCTTCAGGTCCTACATGTTCTTAGGGTATTCCCTGCAGTTTTGTCTTCWGCAAGTTTGATGTTCAATCAGATTCAGGTATGGTGATTGATTCAAAAACAGAAAAGCCAGATAAGAATCTCCAAACAGCTAAAAAAAAAAGCCTTAAAGGGGACATATGCAAAATTAACTTTTTTTTTAATCTGTTAAATACATTTTGTTTTGTACTTGGAGTCTGTAGAGGTGCAGAAAAGTTTAATTTAGTCTCTGCTGCAAAGATATCTTTACATTCTGCTTGGGTGTAAAGTGGATTTAAAGAGACAGTGTCAGAAAAGTTTGCTTTGAGACCCACCTCGGGAAAGTGGTGAAAGAGGGGCTTGTGGAGTTACAATAAGGAAGAATTCAGATGAAAGCATTGCAATTACCAAGTCTAATCACGCTTTTTACAAACTGACTAAACTTTTTTTTTCCCTAGGCTGACTATAAATGCAGAGTGCCAGTTGCAGCTACACAACTTTCCCATGGATGAACACTCATGTCCGCTCATCTTCTCCAGCTGTGAGTATGCTTTACTCGTCTAAGTGCTTGTCTGCTTCAACAATTTATTTCTCTTCCTGACTTTTATTTACAGTTGTGTGTACTGAATACTTTGTCAACCACTTTGTTACATACAATATTTGGTTTAAAGGGTTTCCTGTGAAACAAAAATTATGCTGAACTCCTCAGTTCAATTCTTCCTTACTTCACTAAAAAYCAAATTGGTGTTTAGTATGTTGATGTTTAGATGTATTGCTGTTGTCACTTCTGTATGGAGCTGTATGTAAAAATYTGTGGTTGGACCTCTTGATTTTTGTGCTGCTATGTAAAAAGATTGGTCTCTATTCTGTTGACTGGGTCCACCTGACGTGTTTTTGCTACTTTATTTACTACATAAAGTAGACTAGCACAGAAGTGCAACAGCAGAACAMCACCACATGGACATTGAAGTCCCCCAGCAAAATAAAGGAGTRATCAGCTGGAGCACCTTCCTACACCCCTAGTCCAAGAAGTCTAGGTACTCCGAAATGCTGTTCAGCTCATAAACCAAGAGGTATTCCTTCCACTGCCGGGCATCAGGCACCTTCACTGAACATTGTCGGTAAAGTGTTGCTTTCCCTACCTCAGCTGCTTGATGGTTTTGAYGATGATGATGATGCCTTTATTGTCATTGTACAGAGCACAACGAAATTACATTTAAGAACACCCATTCAAGAGAGACACACAAGACAAACATGGGGGAACAGGTGATCAGGTTATGTTGCAACCAGCAGGGGTTGYGCTACCTTTAAAAAGTTTGGAAAAACACAATAGGAGAGATGAGTTTTAAAAAYTGCTCTGATCCTATGTTTACTCACAAACACAGAATCATATACACAAAAAACCACTCGCTAAACAGCAAGACAGCTGGGGATGAGGGGCTTAGGTCACTTGGGATTGGGGGGACCTGAGACGGGTGCAGGATTCAGTGGAACTGGTGACATTTTAGGATAATTTTCYGTGCTGCAACCGATCCGAGACCCGCCAGAGTCCAGAGATCAGATCATATCGTCTCATGCTCATTTTCCAGAATCTCCTCAAAGTTGATTGAGAGTCTCTATCCAAGATCTGGTCAAATTCTTCCCACATTTGGGATTTTGCCTCAGCAATAACCAGAGCTGCAGTCCGCTAGACCCACAATACTCCTTAACTGCCATCAGAGTCMTACCAGCTGGCAAGGCCCAACAGGACTTCTGAGGATTCACTGATAATAGACACTTGGGGTGTTCACCACTGTGTTCAAGGATGGCCACAACAAGAGGCAACAATAGTCTTGCGGCTACAGCTGTAGGCAGCAGCYTCAACGATTGGGCCATGGAAACTGGCCCATTCTGACTCCTCAGTTCCTCCACTCAGCTMCTCTCTTCACCYGAGTATCCCAAACATACAGCCACTTATCAGATGACATGACTAAAAAGTCAATCGTAGATCTATGTCCTAGGGTGTCCTGGTGCCACATGCACTTATAGACACCCTTATATTTGAACATGGTGTTTGTGATGGACAAACTGTGACCAGCACAGAAGTCCAACAACAGAATACCACTCAGGTTCAGATCAGAGAGGCTGTTCCTCCCAATCACACCCGACCATGTCACACTGTCATTACCTGCCTGAATAAGGGTGTTCAAGCTGGAGTACCTTCCACCACCCCTTGGATTCCAAAAGGCTGGGTACACTGAACTGCCATTCAGCACTTAGTTACAAACAACATTCAGCCTGTCCTGTCACCTGAAGACTCAGAAAAGCTACCTTATCATCTATCAGGTTAAACTCCAACACACAAACACCAAGGCAGGGGACTTTAAGTAGGCCCACATCAACTTGGCACCTCTCGCCATGAGCAACTACAGCGTGGAATATGTTCCAGCCCTTCTCACAATGATTGGTTCCAGAGTCCATGCATCAAGAGGAGCCCAACTACAACCCCAACTCCACTGAAGTTGGGACATTGTGTAAAACATAAATAAAAACAGAATACAATGATTTGAAAACTCTTTTCAACCTACATTCAATTGAAYACACTGCAAAGTCAAGATATTTGTTTAAACAGATAAACTTTTTGTTTTATTGCAAATGTTCACTCATTTTGAATTTGATGCTGAAACACATTCTAATAAAGCTGGTAGAGGGTTTGTGTTTACCATTGTGCTCCATCAGCTTTCCTCTTAACAACACTCAATAAGCGTTTTGAAACTGAGGACAATAATTGTTGAAGTTTTGTAGGTGGAATTCTTTCCCATCCTTGTWTGATGAACAGCTTCAAATGTTCAACAGTCCTGGGTGGCTTGGCATTGTCTTGTTGAAATAAGCAGGGGCGTTGCTGAAAAAGAGATGGCTAAGTTTGGCTCAGTTACAGAATGATGTGGGTTTTTAATGCAGTGCTGYCTGAGGGTTCAACGGTCACAGACATTCACTGTTTGTCTTCAGCCTTACTGCTGACTTGCAGAGATTTGTTCAGATTCTCTGAATCTTTTGATGATATTTTGGACTGACACTAAATTCCTTACAGATGTACAGAGAGAAATGTTCTTAAACTGTTGGACTSTTTGCTCACAGTTGTTCACAAAGTGGTGAACCTTGCCCCATCCTTACTTGTGAACAACTGAGCCTTTCAGGGATGCTCACTTTACACACAATCATGACCCTCACCTATTTCCAGTTAACCTGTTCACCTGTGGAATACTCCAAACAGGTGTTTTATAGCATTCCTAATCTTTCCCAGTCCTTTGTTGACCCTGTCCAGCTTTTTTGGAACATGTTGCAGAATCAAATTCAAAATAAGTAAATAATTAAAAACAAACAAACAAACAATAAAATAGGACTGTAGATGAGTCTGACCTATACTGCGCCGGCCAACAGTTTTACGATACACCCCATATTTGAGG